CCGAGACGGCTGTTTTGTTTGTTGAATGTGAGTGAGGAGTGAGCGGCGCCTGCCCGTTCTAGTACTTATTTATTTATTTATTTTCTTATATTTATATCTCACCCTCCCCACAAAGCGGGCTCAGGGCGGCTTCCAAGGTCACGTAGTCTCTTGATAGAAGCAGGAAGGTAAAAGGTAAAGGTTTCCCTTGCTCGAAAGCCAGTTGAGTCCGTGTCCGACTCTAGGGTTGCGGTGCTCATCTCCGTTTCAAAGCCGAAGAGCCAGCGCTGTCCGAAGACGTTTCCATGGTCATGTGGCCGGCATGACTAAACACCAAGGCGCACGGAACGCTGTTCCCTTCCACCGAAGTGGTACCTATTTATCTCCTTGCAATGTCTCGCTTTCGAACTGCTAGGTTGGCAGGAGCTGGAACTAGAGACGGGAGCTCACTCCGTCATGCGGCACACTCGGGTCTCGAACTGCTGAACTACCGACCTTCCACAGCCTGCAGTTCAGCGTCTTAACCCCTTGAGCCACCACAGCTCCCAGAAGCAGGAAATAAGGGTCTAAAATCAGGACATTTGAAATTTAAAATCCCATGCTTCAAAGCCAATGTAGAAGTTACCACAAGAGCAACACGCAAATAGAACCTTCTGAGCAGTGTCATGAGATGTTACAGCTCCCAGAAGCAGGAAATAAGGGTCTAAAATCAGGACATTTGAAATTTAAAATCCCATGCTTCAAAGCCAATGTAGAAGTTACCACAAGAGCAACACGCAAATAGAACCTTCTGAGCAGTGTCATGAGATGTTAAGCTACTGCGCTGGGCTACCAGCAGGGGAGGCCAGAAGATGGAGATCTGGGTGCCCATAGCCTCAACTAAAAGCCCGGCAGAACGGCTTCATTTTACAGGCCCAGCGGAATTGCATTAGATTCTGCAGGGCCCTGCTGTCAGATGGGGAGCTTGTTCCACCAGGCTGGGCCTAGGTTTTTTAAAAAATTATTATTTGTATTTTCTATTTGAA